TGCACTGTTGCTTCCAAGCTGAGGAATTCGTTTTGGTATTTATGCAAACTGATGCTGTGATCGCGATTTTTTCAAGTGCTCCTAAAAAATTCCCCTTTCTCACTCCGGGCGAAATCATAAGTTTCACAGGATTTGCATTTAGTTTTAAGTGCTACTAAGTAGATTTGTAAGCTAGATCGGCTGACAATTCACTCAATCAAAAGTTACCTCAAATATGAGGCTGTGGATTTTATAGCACGCCCTGAATCGACATTATCAATGACATACGCAAGGATGTTATTTTATTCTCTTGCCTGAACTTTCAAATGGACATGTAATCTGCTATAATGTTTTACAAGATATTGTGTTAGGTGCACCCCTAAAGCACTGTGTTTAACTTCCGTAAAACATTCATTTCCAGCTCTTCCATTTTAATATCCTGACCAGTCGTCGCGAGGGAAACGGTGATGTCGACAAAGGCCACTAACAAAATTAATGCCACACTCATCGAATTCGTGCGCATTCATGAAAAAGGTTTACAATGTGACCATTGATTCTTATTGACTGGTCTAAGGTACACAATTTGGCTCGAAGGTCGCATCGCTGAGCAGGATTAGCTTCGAGTTTTCATCTTCTGTGCTTTCGTTACTAACAATAGTGTTGCTGACAATCCGCGTTTATATGTCAACAATAAATGAGTACCCCCTTTGTGGACATAAAGTGCAAGTGTCATCTTAAAAGACTAATACTTAAACACAATTTTGCGTTGCGAATGCCCTGAACCGAATCGAAGCAATGCAAACATTTTGCACCAATCGTAAATGTCTTAGTCAGGATAATCTCATTGGGTCGATTAATTGCGCACAGGTACATATTATTTGTCCCTTTTTATCAGCTCGGATGCGCAGTTATTTGCTTCAGCCTGTGCCATTCATTTCACCTAAGTCGGAATGACAAAAGCAACTGGTCTCCTGATCCTGTTGGTTGTCGGGGCTCATGCACTTAGCGAAGAAGACCGTAAGAGCATTCTTGAATTCCACACGGCAATCCGTGAGCAAGTACGCCCACCCGCCTCCAACATGATGCTAATGGTAAGCACAGTTCAGTTTAGATTATGTCTTAGCGAGTACAGTATCATTATACAGTCATTCTCATTGCAGCTCTACTGTATTTTTACTCTTACCTCTTCTGTGTTAGAAATATTCGAAAAAATTGGAGAATTTGGCTAAAAAATGGGTTCGACAATGTAGATACGCACATACGGACCCAAACCAACATCCGGAATATAAAGGCGTTGGACAGAATATCGCAGCTTCTGGAGGTGTTGTACCAACCATCAGATGGTTGGCAAATCTGTGGAAGACGCAGGCAAAGTACTACAATTATTCTAACAACTCCTGCCTTCCTTTGAAGACCTGCCAACATTACACGCAGGTATTCTTTGCATTTCTGCAATATTAGACTCCATCCTATTCAAATCAGCTGGTCTTTGCAACTTTGCTGTCAGAAAGGTCAGATGTTCATTTTCTTCACCTTTATTTGTACATTATACTCCTGTCCGTTAGATGGTTTGGGCTGGTTCATCCCATCTCGGTTGTGCAGTCAAGCGTTGTGATCGCATGAAACCAACCTGGTTTCCGCCAGTATACTACTTGGTTTGTCAGTACTGGCCTACGTGAGTTCACTTACAGATTTTCTATCACACATGCGCATTACAAGCTCTTAAAAGACAATTTTTGGCTTTTGTTTAGAGGCATTTTCAAAGAGCATAGACCCTACATCACAGGAAGACCCTGCACTGGCTGTCCCAATGATTATGACTGTACTCGCAATCAATGTTGGCGTCGGCGACCTCGTTAAACACTTGCGAGATCGTTTTGAAAGTTTTGCACAATTTTGGTAACACCGTAATTTCATACAAACTCAAAAACCTGGTCTTCCTTTTGCTCATATGCTTTGCGGCTTTTGCCAATATGCCTTGCTCCGATCTTACATCAGCGGCAATCTTAGACCTGAAGACTATTGGAAGTTGTATGTATGTCGTAAAAATCACAGTTTATTGCGACTTCACCCTTTCAGATTCTGAGAATGCACTGATCTGCTAAGAAGGCTGTCAAATTATGAAGCTGTAGTGAGTGGATTCACGTCGAAACGCACATTACAAGACTCCATAATTTTATACGGTAGGTTAGCTTTAGATTGAAGTCCCTCCTTAAAGGTTGTTGTCGCAGTAGCACCACGAGAGGTTGGGAATTAAATTTCCGGTGAGTCACGACTAGTCGTCAATCGAGCCTGGTCTGACCATTTAGCTCTGAAAATTGGCATCAAGGATCGTGAAAGAAGGCACCACAATTAAAAGCATGAAATTTGACAAGTACCTTCACAGCGCACCCTACAAACTCTCGTTCTTCTGTTCACATGCCGATATGGTGATGATTAAGATGACTTTCAGAATTTTCATGCTTCTAATCGCAGTACGTAGTTGGGCACAGTAGCAAGGTACCCAAACTGAAGTTTTTTCAAAGATGACCTCTGACTAAGATGTTTTTAATTAGCCTTGTGTCAGATCATGCAAGTGGGACTCCACGCCGTCTGAGGCAGGTTGTTGTGGCAGTAAGAACGAAGATAAGGTCATACTTATGTGATGCAGTCGGTGACTAAATGTTGAAGTGCTATTCCCCAAATGATTATGCAGCGTTTAGAAAACACGTAAATGATGAGACATTTAAGGAATACGCTATATATCCTCCATTTTTGTATATTATAAAAACAAACCATTTTCACATCCTTCTTGCCAGGCGAACCTGTTGTAACTGCTACTGTCGATAAGACTGTTGTAAGCTCATTTGGACGATGGAAACATGGAAAACACTCGAATGGTACAATCACCTCATTCAGTGGTATTTTAATTACCATTGTGACTAAGTTACAGCATTTAGGTGGATGGTAGATTGGTACAAATACAGAACTAATGGCACGTCTTCCTCCCATCAATGGCAGGAAACCTAAATAGCCATACAAATGGCTCCTGAAGACAGCCACTACCGTCTACTAATGCCCACAAAGGGTGCCGGTGAATGGAAGAAAGCGGCTGATCGAATTCTACAAATGAGTACGCAGTAAATAATTGTCTGCAGATGGTGCCTTGATTTTGTGTCATAGTCTTTTTACCGAACACTGATTTCATGGATGCGGTCGTCAATGTAGACGGTTGGTTAATTCTCTGAACAGTGACCTGACAAAAGAGGAGATGTTTGACCTCTCCTCTCTTTCACATCCTATCAAAATAAGCATTAGCGGGTCATAGCGGCACAATGAGTAATTCCGCAGGCTCAATGGCTAAGCGTGTACAAAAATGCATCCCATTTATGCTTAGATCATGATTTTACCACAGTTAGATAATCCCTTCCCCCCCCCCCCCTTTGGGCTGCATTTTTGAGATGTCTCTACCACACGAGTACAAGTTCATAATCAAGGCGTTACACCAATTTGCATCTCCATACTCTGAGTAGACATTGGATAATTGTTGAAGCATGATACAGAAGCTCAAATGTGTTTAAGTTAGATACGTGCTATAAAAGTGCTACGCATATTATATCACTGTTCTGCCTTTAAACGCAGTGAGATGAAATCCTGATTCGCAGTCAAAATGGATTAATTCAAGCAAGCTAGTCAACCGTCTATAGACAAATGGTCGCCAAACTCACTCGAATTTGATAGTGAGGAGTGAAGGTCACACCAAAACGCCCATTTTGAGGTAAAATTGGGAGCCCCGTATAGAGAGCTCTGCAGTGATTCAGCAGATTGGTTAATGTGGCAGACAGGGTGCCTTCAGCTAAGTCGCGAGAGGAGTCACGTCATAGTGGTAAACTAAGCCTACCAGTAAATAATAAAGGGGCTACATCCCATCAAAAGGTTGACAGTTGTCAAACTCATTATCATTATATGAAGGAAAATGCCACATTTTATTGCCTATTGGCCTCTTTGTTGCCAGGGCATTTATTACACACAAATGTCATCATAAGGATTGTAGTGTATAGGAAGCCACCTTATCAACATCTCCTATAAATGGCATTTATGAGGATGCTTAATTTCTCACCAATGTCCCACTGCCTCGCAACGCTTGTGTACAATGCAGATTCTGCCCTACTTGAAGGATTAGGGTTATACCAGTTTGCGTCAAAACAAATTTCGTATTACATGATTGTGAGGCGGCCTTAAAGCATCCACCCCTAATCTTCTTTAACGCTTTCTTTCCTTACTCAGTGGCATCCGACATAACCATACATTGTGAGATTCCGGTCTCGAATTCCACCGACACACATGTGCACGACTAACACCTCTCAGCATAAAAGAACAGGAAACTAATAAAATACAAGCGTAATAATATTTTTGCTTCAATGGTTTTCACAAATATGGCAGTTCTTACATTATAGGGAAACTACAGATTAAACAACAGGAGAAAGTTAAATTCGTAATTCGTAACAAGATGAATACATCCCCTATCAAGCTGATTAACTTCACCTTATCACTGGCTATGTAAGGCCTCTTAATTCTTGCTCATTCTCTACCTTTGCAAATGTCGGATAAAACCATTAAAAGTAAGCCAGAATAAGTTTAAAAGATGAGCCTTGAATAATCGCCACTAAAATATTTCAGTAGGGAAATTAAGAGGCATGCGAGCAAGGTGTACAATTATGCTGTTCTTTTCCTCATTACCCCATAAAAGCAGACAGTTAGAAGTTAAGTCGTAGGAGGGAACATTTATTATAGCTATCAAA